CTCATAGATAATTTTGAGTTTATTGAGTCAAAGATTAATCTATTAACTCATAGTATTTGATCTAAAAAAATTTGCATAGAAAATTAAACACAAGATTTTTATATAAATAAATTGTTTTCACAATATATAAATTCAGAATGTCTAATTATTATGTTAATCTATCAAATTATATATGAACTTTAGAATCAAATTCTTAATTATATATTTAAGAGACAAAATTATTTTTTTAATGCAATATAATAGGTAAAATCCTTTTGAAGCCACCATTTTGGTACTGTCTTTTTCTCTCTCCTAACACACCAAAGAAAGGTTAAGGCTCTAGCTAGCACACAACACTTGTTCTATACTTCATAAGGAGGCAGGGTGAGGTTTGACTATAGGAAAGAAAAAAGGAGGTAATGGAGGTCAGCTGTGATGCCTTTTGCCCATGGAAAGTTACAAATGGAGTTGCCATTTGGTACACTTGTTTAGTAAAATAAAATGACTGAGATGTTGTATCTAGAATATCATGGAAAAGGGGGACAAAAGAGATAATAGATGTCTACACCCTTGACATGAAAATGATGAAAGCCAATCCCCGTTAACAATATAATCACCATGGTACCCTAATATTACGCTATATGTATCTTATTTTATTTTTTCAACTACTCCATATAATCAGTGCTGGTTTTCTTTCTTCCCTGATTTAATCATTACGTTCTTAACGTGGGGTATAACACTGTTTTACGATAAGATGGCAACTGGCAAGAGAAATTATTTTTATACAGTTAGTTTGTACACAATAAGAAACGAGAGAAAAATAATACAGTGATATACAACTATTCTAGTACCAATCAAAAAATAAAAACCATTGCTAGTAACACTATTTGGACTTGGAAGTGGCATTTTCACTAATGTGGGAATAAAACTTAAAACATTATAAATTATAATAAAGTATTAATTTATTAAAAGTCATACCTTAATTTCTTTTGACATTATATTCTTAGCGATAAATATTTATTGAACTTTTGGATGAATTATTTCTTAAAGTATTATTTAATTAAATGATAATGTTAAATTCTTTATTCTGAATTAAACTCTAATATTATATATTAAATTATCTTTTTTGCATGGTAGTTAAACACTAAACCTTCAAACTCTATAAGATAGCTGTAAAAGGCGTATGAAGCTAATTTGAATAAACTATAACCCTTAATTGATTCAAATTTAATTTAATAAAAGTGGGATTAAAAATTGATTTCATGAATTAATCTGCATGTTCCATTTAATTTGTTTTTAATTTGTAAAATAAATAGAAATAGCCCTCAACTTACAAATGCTCCGCAGGTATATATATATATATATATTTTTCTTTTTGAACAATATTAAAATTATATATTAGATTTATTTTATAAAAAAAAATTAGACACTTGATTAATCTTTCAAAGATCTAACAGATTAACTCATTGTTTTTTCAAATATTTATTGTCAAATTAATCTCTTAAAGATTTAAATTACCATTACATATATTATATTTATTTTTATATATAGAGTACAAAAATGTTACATATAATTATATAAAAAATAATACTATAGGTACAATATATGTAACTATAAATTTATTTAACATACACTCATATATAATTTTAATATTGATTTTAAATGAGATTAAATAACATATATTGTGTATTAGTCAACACGTACATTTTTTTAATAATATACTAATATATATCATATATATCAATAGTGTAGATAAAAATAGTTTTTTAATAATAAATATTATATCACTAAAATGTATCTATCATTACAAGACATTTTTTTTTTGTAGTGAACTAAGTAATAACACAATATGATTAATTTAATGATAGAAAATTACAAATTCAGTGATGGATTAAATTTTTAAGAGAGTAATCAGTGACAAAAGTTTAAAAAAAAGTTATTTTGTATTGGATTCTATTGGAATTTTATATATTTTGTATGCGCCTTTCAAGTTTGTCTGAAATTAAAATTTTTATATAGTATGAGACATGCATAAAAAAAATTGGTTGATGAATTCTTACCCTTGAAAATTAAATGTTTACAAGAATTTCATTGACGATCTAAGTTAAACATATTTTCTTATGATGGAAATATTCCAACAATTTTTTTTTATGCATAATAATTGTGCAATGCACTTGAAACAATTCTCTGGTTTTTTTTATGTAACTCTCAGAAAAATGATTGTTGGATATCTATTTGGTTAGTCATATATGGACACTATGATTGACTAGGAATGATGTGACCTTTTCTTCCACTCAAATATCTGTATTGGAGATGGTAGATTTGGTTAAAATTAGAACCTGGAATTGGTTAAGAACAAGACATAAAAATTTTAGGTATAACTTTGTTTTTTTGTCCATGAATCCAGCAGTTTGCCTCACATAAGTAAATGTATTCAGGTGATAAATGAGACTACTAGAGAAATCTGATTCTGTAATTTCTATCTCAAAGTTGTGGGTTTAGATGTGATAGACTAGCTTAGGTTCCTAATTTTGGAACAATATTTTTAGTAATACATAGTATACATATCACATGTGATATTTTTATAATGGATTGGAGTATCCCTTCTACTTTTTTTTTCCTTTCAATTATTTAGATTATATAAAATAAGAAATAAAAAAAGCTTCAAAGTTACCGCAAAGATCAAAAGGGGTAAACAAAGAAAATTGCTTGAACTGCACTATTGCCCCTGTGATTAAATTAGTTTTATGACAATGGCGATACATGCATGTGAATGAAGTGAAGTAAAGATAATCTAATTGTAATGATTAAGAAAATGACTCATTTACAAATATGATTACATTTATGAAATTTATAAAGCCCTTGCCGTTTTGATTAATGAGTTGAATTTAAACTATGGTTAACGTGGATTAAGGTCACATTTCTCATCACTTCGTCACCTCTTCGCCGGTGGTTATACCAGCCATCTCCCGTAAAGTAAATTGTTTTTTCTATCCATTTATGTTCATAGTAATTTTTTTTTTCTTAAATATATTTTTAGTCCTCAAATTTAAGATAAATTTATTTTTAGTTCCTCAAATTTAAAATTATTATTTTTAGTCTTTATAATTTTTAAAAATTTAGTTTTAGTCCTTTAAGTAACCCATAATATATTTGAAAGTGACTAATTAATTAAGACAGTTATGCAATATTAACTGGATTTAATGTGATATTTTCACTAATAAAGACACTATTAAGTAAATTTTATGCAATAATGTTTGATAAATTTTTTTATCAAAATTTGAATATAAGAACTAAAATAAGATTTTTTTAAATTATAGAAATTAAAAACAATAATTTTAAATTTAAGAGACTAAAAATAGATTTATCCTAAATTTAAGGAATTAAAAAATATATATATATATATATATATTATATTACAGTTAAGGCTGCTGCATGTGCATTAGATTCAATTACCGTTATTATAATTTTTATTTATAGATAAAAGAAAATAACAAATTTAAATTTGATGGAATTTTAAATATTATATTATATTTATTATATTATATTAAATGTTAGAATTTATAAAAAAAAATATTTTAATTTTTAGTCCTATAAACTTATGATATTATATTTATTTAATATTATTGTTGTATTGATAATAATAATAATAATAATAATTTTATTAATATTAATTTGATTATAATTTAATTACGATTAAATTATTAAATCTTGAATCATTTAGACGAATTTAATGATTAATTCAATTTTAAAAATATTGATTTTAACTAGTTTTTGCTTGGTTTTTTGCTTTACTACTTTTTAGGATTATCTTTACTGATAGTTTAACTAATTCTCAGTTAAAACTAGTGGCATTACACTAGCATTATTAAGAACTATATTTTGTTGATATGAATTTCTATCTCGATGTTTCACTGTATTTTGGCAAGTAAAAAAACTTTTGTTTTTCTTTTGTTAGTCACCATGAAGAAAAACAAGGAGATATAGATAACACATGCATGAAGTGATTCCGAATTTTCTCATATAAATTAATTTGATCTTCAAAATATACTTTGTGAATATCGACAATGAATTCCCAGGCACCGTTGAGATGGGTTGAATTTCCATTAATTTACATACACTTTGTTAAGATATTTGGGATGGTTCTATGTATCAATTAATTAATTGCCAAAAAATGCAATAATCAAAGTCAATAAAAATTTGTAGATATTGAGCAATTTTATCTATACCTCATTGTAAGAAAATTATCATATAATAATATATACTTTACAGTGACACAATATATGTAATTAAAAATTATTTTTATCAAATTAAAAAATATAATATATGTTAGTATATTATTAAAAAGATTAAATATAAATTACAGTGACATAAAATATGTTATTAAATCACATTTAAAATTAATACTGAAATTGTATATAATTACAATTAAATAGATATATACTTACATATATTATATTTATAATAATATTTTTTATATATCAACATATGTAGCATTTTTTTATAACATTTTTTATAGTAATTATTACGAAGGAGATATGAGAAGTAGGAACATATTATTTTGATAAGCCAAAACTCTCTTGTAAATATGGGTGGCACCCCTAGTGTCCAAATATTAATATATTTTATTTGTTGTTTCAAAAAAAGAAAAAGAAAAAAAGAAAACGAAGGAGATATGGGTTAAAAATTATTTCTTTAGTTTCCATTTTTTAGTTAAATGGTTTTACTCTTGAATTTAGTATTCATATTTCGAAATAAAATACCCTTATTGTAAAATTTTAATATATATATTTTTTTTCAATCATCTTTTTTAAAATCTTTTGTAAAATAAATATATAAAGATAGGAAGTGTTTTTTTTTTTTGTACTAATAACAAATAAATGGAAAAGTACTTAAACTAGAAAATACCACTTTGTATACAAAAGAAATTAGTGTAAGTATACATTTGATAAATATTATAGTACACAACCAATTTTATTTTTACCTTAATTGGCTATTTCGTTTGTTGTTTATAGGAAAAAATTCAAGCATATGAATCAAATACATCATCTCTTTCACAAGACATATCAACTCAAGATTCTCTAGCTCACGCACTAGGAAGTCAAGAACATTGTGGGCGTGTTCGAGGAATGGGATTGGGACCTTGCCCCTCTCGCGTATTTGGGTACACTAGGCATTCATATAGTGGGGTGTCTTCATCTTCTCCTTCTTACAGAGAATTGCAAAATCAGGTTATTGTGGTTCACATTTTTTATGTAATGATTTAGTGATATTTACATTAATTGGATCTGAATAGTCTTGTGGATTTTATTCTCTAATTAGTATTTAGTATTATTATCAATTGTTGGTTAACTTAACTACGTGGTTGATGGTATTTCTATTTTTCTGCATGTTTTTTTAGAGTTTAGCTTAAGTAGGTGGTTGTTGGTTAGCTTATCTAATTAATGTTTAGGGTGGCTAAATTATCTTAAATTAATAAGTGTATGAGTGTAATGATTTGTGATGATGTAGTTGCATAGAATTAAAATAGTTTTGACCTTCGTTATTTTATTTTATTCTGACTCAATTGAGTTAACTCGTGTTCATGTTATGTGTGTAGTAACTAGTGAGTACATATGTTCCGTTAAGTCACAACACATTGTCTTTCTATCTTTTATTATTTTTTCATTGTTGCTTTGCTGGTGAGTCTTGTGTAGTATGAACCTAGAACTCCATAAGTTGAACTCATCTTAAAACCACTTAACTGCTAAACTTGTGAAATATTTGGTTGAGTTAAGAGGGAAAGGAATGAAATGCTTATTTTTTTGTTTTTAAGACCCCTTTAAGATATTTGTTGCTTATTTTTCCATATAAACTATAGATAACCACATTCAGTTGAATTTCCAAAATTCCCTAAATTAAGCATCCATGGAGCTTTTTCCAAGTCTAGTAATGATGTTTGTTCTTGTTCTATACTTTGAATCACTTCCTAGTGGATAAAAAATGGTTGAGTTTGTTTAATTTGGTGTATTAATTATAACAAGGTGAGGTAAGGTTAATGTTGACTTAATTGAATCATTCTAGTATTATATTGAATAATTAAGACCAATTAAAAATGTTACTAATCTCTTTGTGCAGGTTAGACTAATTTATTTAAAGTGGTATTTCAATACAGGTGACTGCGTTGAAATCACAATTGGATGAACAAAATAGAACATTGATCGAACAAAATAAAAAATTTGAAGAACGAGATAAAAGATTTGAGGCAATGATGAACTTTTTTGCTCAAAACTATCAAGGCCAATTACCTTTTGACTCGTCTATGTTCAATAATTCACCGGTAGTGTTTCAAAATAAAAACTTTTTTAATATCTAATATTGTATATTTTGTGTTTCTAATTATGATTTATGCTTATATTGTAGGTTTCTGATCAAGGAAGTGTGCCAACAAATGAAACAAATTTTCAACATGAAGTGGGGCGTGGGTGATAGCTTAAAAGCACATTAATTAATTTGTAGTTGATTTGTGCTTCATTTTTAGAAGATAAAAACTTCGTGCTAGTTTATTTTGAGTAATATATATGTTGTTTCAACTTTTCTTCTTTTAGGAGTGACTTCATGAGAATACCCCCTTATTACTACTATGCTACATTGTGTTAATTTTAAGTTTCTTATTTTATAGACTCAGTACGTTATGGTATAAATATAAATTTAGTTTATATTTATAACTTGCAAATTCATTTTTGACTTGATTTACATGCTTTATTAAGAAAACTAAGGTCTTCTAAAAACTAGTATTATATATATATATGTATATATATGTGTGTGTGTGTGTGTGTGTGTGTGTGTGTGAGTGTGTGTATACATGTATACACAACAAATAAAAACAATAATTTGAGAATAATAGTGGTTCAAAAATTTATCGACTTACAAGATTAAGAAATAAATGTTAAAATAAAAATGATAATGATGAGGTTAAATAACTCATTTCACAAATATTTTATAGTAATTAACCTTTAACAATTATTGGGAGTTAAAAACTACAAACAAGTGCAGCACCATGTTAAGATTATTGATCTTTATTATTTAATAGAAAATCATCTAATAAGGTTTACTACGAGAAATTAACTGGGGTTTTAAAACCCCAGGCAATCATTTGAGAATTTGAAATGGCTAGCAATTAACCGGGGTTTTTAAAATTGCTGGTAATTAATTGCGATTTTAAAACCTTGGGTAACTAACCAGGGTTTAAAAACCTCTGATAATTAACTGGAGTTTTAAAACCTCTGGTAATTAATCGGGGTTACAAAATCGCCGGGAACGTGTGAATTTACCCAGGGTTCACTAAAACCGCTAGTAACACGTTACCGACGGACAATTTGGCTGCGGAAAGTGCAACCGCGGGTAACGTCATTAACGGGGGTTTTAACCCAGCTAAATCCAAAATTAACCTCCACTAAATCCATTTTTTTTTTTGTAGTGAATGAAGGTACTACTTTGTAAGGATCGATCCTTTTGGAATTCGTTTTAGGTTCACCTCTTTCTATGAAAAGGTTTACAAATTTATGAGTAGTGGCCAATTAAAAGGGGCATGTCTTTGCCTCCTAGGGAGTGCCTCTGACATTTGTTCGATAAATAAAAAGCTACACAAAAAGGAAGCACAAGAATCAGCCTTCCTTCGTCTTTTCAGCTCAGTGGAGGTTTTGCTCATTTGTCTTTTTGATTCTTTTGGTGCTAATGCTATGCAGTGGTTTTGATCGATGAGCAATCCAAGAAAAACGAAATACCAAAAAGATGACGCTATCAAACTTAATTATTTCCCACTTCCAAGCTTGAAAGGGATCGCCTTGGAGAATCTGGAAATAGTAATTATTCAAACATCAATTAAAGGATTGGATGTTAAGGCTAGTCTAGAAGATTTGATAGGAATAATAATCATTCAATCCCCTTTATTAGGCTCGTTTTTCAATCGGTTTTTCAAAACAAAAATACCTTTAACTAGTTTCAATTTTTAAAATTAAAGAAAGTGTAAAGTCATATTCATGTTATTTCTCTTCCTAAGTAGGAAGTGCTGTCAATTTTTTTTTTTTTTTTTGTGATGTCAATTTTCATATAGATTTGCATAAATTTGCAGTAGAGACACAATAGATAATTTGTAATCTTGTAAAAAATCTTAAAAGGAGTTGATGAATAATTCTAGTATTGTACGAAGTTGTGTATTATTTTAATCTAAATTTTTCAAAACCAAAAAAATATTCTTGTTATTTTATCATATTATATCCATAAAATGCAATGTTCCGATATTTTTGCTAAATTTAGAAACAATAATGTTTCATATACTAATTTTATTTAATTTTACATATAAAAGACTTAGTTTATAATCAAAAAGGGGGAAAATCAATTGGTACAATTAGTGATAAAAAGTTGTTTTTTTAAAACAAATACATTAATGAATTAACATAGAATATTGTTTTGTTTGATTAGTAAATTCTGAAATTTTCTATCAATAAAAATCACAATAACGATTAGGGCCAGTTCAAAGGGTAGACCAACAAAAAGCTTTCTTTAAAAAATTATTTTATATAATATATTTTTAAAAGATTATATAAGTTACATTTTACATCCTTAAAAAAGAATGTTACTTTTTACATTATTAAAAATTCGCTTAAAAAATTTATTTCTAAAAAAATATGAAAATATAATTTTTTTTAAGACCCATCTCTAAATTATATATTTTTTTATTAAAATATTTTTATTAATTTTAAAAAAGTCTCATTTTAAGATTTGTTTTAGACCTAATAATATGCTAATTAATTTAATAACAACAACAATATTCAAACATAAGATCTTATCTCAAACCCTCCAATCTCTACCACTAGATCAATTCTAACTATTTCTATTAATAATTACATTAGATATTTGAAGAAAGAGTTCTTTTTACTCACAGTAATCCAATAAAATTCTAGTAATTATTTTTCATGAAAGATACATTTGTGCTAAAAAAAATTAATAAATTCCAATAAAATTTTAATAAAAATAAGTAAAGTGAATATATTTTTTTATATTTTATTTAATCATACTGTAGAGCTGTTAATTATTTGTACTTAATTTAATAGCTATAGACAACATGGTATCGTTTTTCTCCATCTCAAACTTTGCTCATACATTTCTAGGCCTTGTTACAATGTGGGGGGAAAAAGGATAACGTGAACCAAATTTCATTTGGCCATAATTATTGTGGTAACGTTTTTGGGAGCAAACAAGAAGACTCAATCATGTAAAAGAGCAACCACGAGAGGGCCAGCTGCCACCACCCTATATGGCTCCACTAAAATTAATTAATTATTTTATTCTATGTGTAATAAAATGTCAATAGAGTGAGATTATCAAATAGCACGGTATCTTATTAGAGACTAATATAGATTCTCAGTCCTCTTAATTATTTCATGACAGATCACCATAATATATATAATCCTTTTAATTATATTATTTTGAAGGTTTAAGGTCAAGTGGAAGAAAATATTAAAGAAGACTTTTTCATGCATGGTAAATATATACGATTTTAATAAGGTTGGACTCATAAAACTTCTTACACATAACATGCCTAATGTTGAGTAATAATAATTAAATACAAAGGAAGTTTGTGGAAAAAGAAAAAGGGAAATTTAATTGTTAGAATGATGGATTGGGGGCATGGGTCCCATATATATATATATATATGCATAAAGAGGAATTTAGGCAGTGACGAGAATGTTGGTTAAGGTTAGTAAGACGAAAACGTAACGCAAGTGTTAGAAGTCAATGCACTTTAGTTGACTTATGCTACACATGCTTCCTTGTTATGTCGATTTCGCGAGACAAAATGGTTTTACTTTTGAAGGAGGATATCTATTCTTATCTAATTCGGTTCTGCCTGTACCAACATGTGCAACCGATTTAAATCATAGCTACTTTGGATTGTTTAAAATTCAGTTCACATATAGACTTCACCTTTTTCTTTGGGTACAAAGACTTAACTTTTTAATTTACGACTCAAGTGGTTTTATTATTTAATTAGATAAATGACAATAGTATATTTTTATTATTATTAAATTTTATTAAAATTATAAAATTACTTAGACTTCACATTTTATTTAATGATTTTTTTTCTTTTAACAATTGGTATACCAATAAAGTCTAACATTTGGTCGATATTCGATAGTGCCAAAATGTCTAACATAATTAATTGAAAGCAGGGTTCCTTAAGTATTGTGTTTTTAATAAATTTTAATCAATAAAAAATGTATTTAAATTAAAAATAAATTAGAGGGTATGTTGTTATCAATACAATTAAAATTCTTAACCCAAAAAAAAACACATATTGCTAGTACTTCTTTTATTATTATTATTATTATTATTATTATTATTATTATTATTATTATTTTTAAGAGTAGTATCTATAATAATATATAAATGTAATTCATTGTTTTCATTTATAAGTTTTTAAAATGTTTTTTCTCTTTATTTGTTATGGTAACTGGTAAGTGCACACTTCCTTCTTTTAGTGTAGTATAATTTAATAATTTTATTTTATTAATCTAAAAAAATATTATTTATGTAGATTTGTTTTGCTCATTAATAAACACAATTGTTTTGTAACTTTCTCACAGTCTGCAAAATGTTAATTAACAAGACACAAAGTGTCTTTGTTTTTTTTACAAATTTAAAATAAATAAAATAATAATATTTTACAAGAATTTCATTAGAACATTGTATTTATATTAAATTATTATGTGCAATGAATTATGCGTTTTTAATTAAAATTTACTCATTTTAATTTCAGCTTTTTTGTTGCATAATAATAGTTTCTATTTTTGTACAAATTTAATATACAAAATTGAAAAGCAGACAAACATGAAAAGTAAAAAAAAATTGAAAAAGTAAAACCAGAAGTTATAAGTACAAATTATGATTTAGCTAGGGAATTTTATCGATGTATAACTTTATGTTCAGGGTCTACCTTAAACAGTTCCTATGTAACTTTCCAAATTCCAAGGACGAGGGGATAATTCAAGAATTTCAAGGTCTAATAATATATGCACCATTATAAGCTTTTACCACATGGTGACTCCTGCACCTGAAATTAGAGAATCTTTATTACCTATTCACATTCTCAGGCTATGTATGGATTTCAAACTATCCAATTATGTAAGCCTGTTTTCTATTAGAACTACTTTATGCTTGTGCTTAGATGGCAAGACTATTATTTACTTGCATCCTTATAAGTGTATTTTTATACAAGTTTAGAAAGACTTTTCAGAATTTTTTTACTAAAATATATTTTTTATTTTTAGTAAATAAAAATTGTTCTAAACTTCATCCAAACATTCTCTAAATAAAATACACCCAACATCCCTTAATAGACTTTCATTTTATCATAGACACTGTTAAGTACTTTTGGTACGCATAATAATTTAGGTGTTAAGAGTGTTTGTATTGATAACCTATACCTTTGCATCTTGTTGGACATTTTATGGGCCTTTGAATCAAGAAGGCTCAACCAAATCATTAATTTCGGCACCAAACTTTAGAGATTTTACCGCGCGTCCTCAACTAAAAAATAAGTCTTCAAGAAATTTTGATAA